CCACATTACTGATAAATTCTACCTTTCAATATTCAGATCTTATCCAAGAATATTAACTTCATTTATTATACTTTCCACCTCGTGAAAAGGATGGTAACAGGATGTAAAACAAAAGAAAATCAGACATCCTAAGAAAACATTTACAGGCTAGCAAATTAACATATATTTAGTTTTAAAATATCTAAGTGTTGGATTTTGATTTTCTAATGGAATCATGTCTCACCAAATGCATTCTTTGCTACCACTGGATCAGATTCCAGTGGATCACCAATTCCGTATTTGTTCACAGCTCTAACCCGGAAGATGTATTCATTTCCTTTGATAATTTTGGTGGTTGTAATGATGCACTCTTCCAAGTTTTCCGATACCATAGACCACACAACACGGCTTGTCTCACGCTTTTCTACAATGTAGTGAGTGATTTTGGCACCACCGTCATCGGCGGGAGGCTGCCACAGGAGAGTTATCTTTTCAGCAGTGACTGTCTTAAATTCGATTGGTCCTCCTGGGGGCCCTGGTTTGTCTGTCATTGAAAGAATGAAATAATATGTTAGTGATTTGTAAGAGGTTGTTATTTAAAATGACTAAATTTTAGGCCAACAAAATATAATGTTGGCCTTTATTTGGCACCTACCAAGGATCTGCACTCTGATGGTGGCTGAGGCTGAGCCCATGGCATTCCTTAGTTTTAATTCGTAGCTTCCACTGTTAAGGCGACTTGCATCTTTGATGAGTATTGATGCAAGGTCAGTGGTGTTTTCGACTGATAGCAATGCATTGGTTTGTAATTCTTTATCATCTTTATACCACTCAATTGTAGGCTCAGGTTTGCCAGAAATGCCAGCTCTGAGTTTCACAGATGTACCTGCTTTGTATTTGACAACTTCTGTGTATTCTAGAGGCAAATCAATCACAGGTCCACCTGCAGGAAAAACAGATGTTAAAAGATCAAGAGGATGAAACCAATGATTATAATAACTTCAAAGTAAGGTCGTTGGCTTTTATTTTAAAACACACACACACACACACACACACACACACACACACACACACACACACACAGTAGTTCTAATCTTAATTACCCATTAATTTAAGCATTTAAACTTGACACGCCCCTCTTGTGTCCCAAATGGGTAAAAAAGATTGTGAGCAAGCTCTGTACCCAAATGACACTGCATTAATTGCACAGGGGCTTAAATGCCCCTTTGAAATGTATTTTAAAGTCTATGAGGTGTTTTGAGTCCAGTGATAGAATGAGATATGCTAGTGAGAACATCATTGGAGAATCAGCATTGTACATATTCTTTCAGGCTAGGTTCTCCTTCCTCTTCCTCAAAGTACCTCCTATTCTTTTTACTTTTCCTTTCCAGGTTACTGATATTCAGTTGTGGCTGGGGCATGTCAGACCCTTGAAGTCTGAATTCCCTACTCAAAGAGCTTCATACTTCACTGGGTAGATTTTCTGCCATGCTGCTGAGCAGTTTTGAGAAATAGAACTAAATCTGACTTGCTCCACAGCCTCGAAAATACTGATTCGGGGTCCACAAAGCCTGGTTCATAATGAGCAGCCCTGGGATTCCAAAGCATGGGCACGGGAGTAGATAAAATGGGAAACTTAAAAAAAAACTATCCTGGGGAACCTCACTTGCTGTAATTTTAATTTTAAACCCCATGTTGAGTTGAATATGCTACTTATTTTCCAGAATGGTCAAGTATGTATATTTTGGACTAAGTGTACAGAGAGTTCTGGAGTCTGCCTGCTTGAATTCCTACTTTATCACTAATGAGCTGTTTGATGTTGGGGAAGTTAGATAAGTGCTCTAAATCCGAGTTTCTTTTCTGTATAATGGGCTGATCTGGGGGCTGTTAGAGGTTTGGGAGAGAAAGTATGGAAAGTACCCAGGAAACGTTAGCTGCTGCCAATACTCTCATTAACACCTTAGTTTAGTCTTTCACTTATTTAAGAGGAATGTTCTCTGGGTACTCAACCATGGTCTTCATTATTGACTCTGATAATTTAAAAAAGAAGAGTGAAAGCGCTAACTCATACAATCCAAGAATCACACAAGGTTGAAGTTGGAAAGGCCTCTACATATTCTGTAGTCCAAGTCTCAGTTTTACAGTTAAATCAATGCCTAAGGAGGTAAAGAAATTTCCCTTAGGCTCCCAGCCAGTTCTTCCTAAGCCTCCTGGCTAATTTCTTCTAAAAATCTAAGGTATATACTAAAAGTTATTCTGTAGAATAGGACCAAAAAGCTTAAAAAAAACTACTGAGTTAACTGCTGTTGGGATTCGAAGTGCTGAAAACGCTTACCATAAGAATCGATGCATGTAATGGGGCCCACCACCTCGGATGGATTGCTGATGGACCCAACGGCATTTCTGGCAAAGACACGGAATTCATACTGCGAATTCTGAGTCAAGCCAGAGACAGTGAATTGCGTCTCAATGACATTGGTGAAGCTGGCCTTGGTCCATCTGCCATCTGGAAGGTCTCGCCTTTCAACGATATAGCCTGTAATCTTGCTTCCTCCATCGAAAGCTGGTGGTTTCCATGCAAGGTTGACAGAGTTCTTTGAAATATCAGTGATACGGACATTTCTTGGTGGTTCTGTGGTAATAAGAGAAAGCAGATTAGCAGCCAGCACTATGTCAACATTATTATTTTGCCTTGGAGAAATGAAGCTTGCATTTTTAAGTATCAGAAGCATCTTTCCCATGACAGATACATACCACAGGCATCTATGGCTAGGACTGGCTCAGAAGGATGGCTGGGTTTTCCAACTCCAGCTGCGTTTTCTGCATATACCCTGAATTCATAAATAAGTCCAGCACTGATTGTTGTGACTTTGAAGTGAGTTGTACGGATGACCATTTTGTTGACCTTTTGCCATAAAATACTGTTTCTGTCTTTCATTTCCAGATGATAGCCTATAACTGCATTGCCTCCATTGGACACTGGCTCATGCCAGGCCACAGTGATGCTTTCTCGGGTAACATTAGTGACCCATGGTGTAGATGGTGGTCCAGGTTTTGCTACAAAAGAGAGACATGCCGTAAGTTAGTATAGACATTTAAAACATTTATGTAAACTAAAATCTGGAATCTCTCAAAATTTTGACAACTTACTGTATGGTAGTTTGACAGTTACACATGCCGAATCGATGTGGTCACTGATGCCAAAGCGGTTTTCTGCCTTGATGCGGAATTGGTATTCTTCTCCTGTGGTCAGTTTCATGACTTTAATCATGGTTCTGGCAACCGTTGCAGACACTTCAGCCCATACTGCTGTACTGGTCTCTCTCTTCAGTACAATGTAGTTGGTAATGTGACTTCCACCATCATACTTAGGTGGCTCCCATTTGAGAGTCACACTTTCTTCATTTACATCACTAATAACCACAGGGCCAGTGGGGGGGCCAGGCCTGTCCAGTACGACGATGTTCATAAAAGCTTTGGTTGTTCCGCTGGAGTTGGCAGCTGTGATCTCATATCTTCCAGCGTCAGCAGCAACACTTTCTTTGAGATTGATGGTCAGGTTCTCAGCAGTAACTTCAGTATTAAACCTCATGGTTGCTTTCAGGGGGACACCGTCTCTTGATAAGGTCACTTTGGGCAGTGGTTTTCCAGAAATCGGAATGTCGACTTTAAGGTTTGAACCGGCTCTAACATACACAGTATGACTTGGGAAATTCTTCATATCAATTTCAGGTGGTTCTGAAAAAAGAAGGGTATGGCAGATGAAGGTGAAAATAATTTTTAGAGATCAAAGCAAAGCAAGTAATTTCAAATTTTGCTTCCACATAAAATTGGACATACCTAGTTGCTCCTTAATAAGAACGGGAAGAAGCAGCTCTCTGGGGTCACTCAGGCCAGCTTGGTTTTCTGCAAATACCCGGAAGAAGTACTCAGAATTCTCTCTCAGGCCAGAAACAACGTGGTGAGTTGCCTTTACCACGGCACATTTAACCCAGTTTTTCTGTCCCTTTTCTAGTGCTTCGACGACGTAGTGTACAATTCTGCTTCCACCATCGTGTTCTGGCTTCAGCCAGGCCAGGGAAACGCTGTCTTTGGTTACGTTTGTTACTCCAAGTTTTTCAGGTGGGCTTGGTTTTTCTAAGAAGGTAAAACATTAAAAGAAAGGAAAGATTATTACAACATTTTTATCCATGTATATTCTTCCTGAGTTATCAAAAGAAAAAATGTAAATGAAGGCCATATATTTATGCGGATGTGAGTCTTTCTTTTTGTGGGAAGATGCCCAGCCAACTGAGCCACACTGGTTAGTGCTACTGTGGCTTTTTTTTCAGTCTTTCTTACTTTTTATATGACCACTTTGGCTTCTGAGCTTTTGCTAACTCAGTACATGTCATAGCATGCCATAGCACTCAAATTCAAATTGTGTCAAATGACCAGATTAAATGATAAAATTTATCCCACATTTATTATGGGTGTGAAATTGAAAAAGTAGATGAACAGTCTTGTAAGAAACTTCATCATATAATTTCTGCATGTACATGCTACATACATAGTCAAATTCAATTATACTTAAACTCAACATACATTATCCAATTCCAGCTATGTAAATTTCCACTTATATTTTTATCAGCAAAAATGTTCTCTATGAGAGATTTCATTTTGTACTATAGTATAAGTTGTTTGAGGTGTGAACCAAAAGCATTGAAGATTAAACAGCAATTAGAACGATTCACACTAATGTAGGAAAATTAATATGGATTTGTAGATTTTCTTTGTTCTTAAAACATACCTGTTATTTTTACTCCTTCATGTGTTTCAGCCGGTGCCCCAACACCAAACTCATTTTCTCCAAAGACTCTGAAGTAGTAAATTGCCCCTTCTTGCAAGTTGTTAATTTTGTAGGAGAGGCGGTTACAGTTGTTGGTCACAGAGACCCAAGCTTTCTTACTGGCCTCGCGTTTTTCTATGTGGTAATTCCTCACTGGCGCTCCACCATCGTTTTCAGGAACATCCCAGGATAACACGGCCGACTCTTTGGTGACATCATGCACAGAAATATTGGCTGGAGGACCAGGAGAATCTAAAACTTTGACAACCAAGGTCAGTGAAGCAGCATTCAAATTATTCTGAATTGTTAATGTGTATTTTCCAGAATCATTTCTGTTGGCATTTTCAATAGTCAGTGATGTACGAGAGTCTGTGGAATCAATGTAAGCTCGAGAGCGGAGGTCAGTGTCTGGCTTACTCCACGTGACGCTGGGTACTGGTCTCCCTCGGAAAGGCACAGTCATGGTAAATGAGGCACCAGCCTTGACAACCAAGGTCTTCCTCATTTCACTGTCAATATCAAATACAGGCTCTTCTTCTCTTTCCTTTGCTATTTGGGGATCCGAACTTTCACTGGGATCACTAGCGCCCACTTTATTGACAGATCTTACTCTGAAAACATATTCAGCTCCTGTTGTTAGTCCACTTACTGTATATTCTGTGCCTCTTAAGCTCTGAATGGCAGTTTTCCAGTCGGTTTCATCAGATGTTTTATATTCTATAGTGTATCCAGTTATTGGGGCCCCACCATCAAATAAAGGCTTAACCCAGCTAATAGTTATATTTGTCTTGCTCGAGTCTACAATTTTCGGTTTGGATGGAGGAGACGGTAAGAACACTGGATCTTCTGCTCGAATTAGGGGAGAGGTTTCACTTGGAAGGCTTAGGCCGGCAGCATTTTCTGCAAAAACCCGATACTCATATTCACATCCTTCCCGGAGTCCTGTGGATTTTACTCTCAGATCATAAACTGGTTTTTTGTTTACACGCACCCATCGTAGGCCGTTTTTCTCTCGTCTTTCAATGATATATCCAGAGATCTCACTGCCTCCATCACTCTCAGGTCTCGCCCAGCAAAGCGTCATGAAGTCTTTGGTCACAGATGTAATTTCTAAAGATGTGGGTGGACTTGGAACTGTAAATGGATCTAGTGCCTTGACTGCCACACTCTCCAGGGGCTCACCAACACCATATTTATTAACACCTGTTACTCTGAAGATGTATTCATTGCCTTTGAGTAACTTGGTTACTTTACAGGATGTTGTCCTTAACTCTCCTTCACATATTGTCCAGGCAAGGCGGCTCGTTTCACGTTTTTCTACAATATAATAGTCGATACTGGCACCTCCATCTTCTTGGGGTGGTCCCCATGAAAGAGAGCATTTCTCAGAGGTGAGGCCATTTATTTCAAGTGGTCCTGCTGGTGGGCCAGGTTTATCAAGTACCTTGCAATTAACTGCCATAGACCGAGTTCCTGCAACATTCCTCGCTGTTAGTACGTACTGCCCACTGTCTCGTCTGACACAGTCTTTCACTGTTAACACAGTACTGTAGTCGGTTGAGACAATTTCTATTCTTGCCCTCTCTTCAATCTCTACACCATCCTTGGCCCAGGACACTACTGGCAGAGGTCGCCCTGCAATGTCTGCATTGATCTTCAGGACTTCTCCAGCTTTGACAACAATAACGTCTCGGAACTTGACATCCATCATAATTCTTGGAGCCTCGACATCGTCTTTAACTGTAATAGGTCCAGTGGATTCAGATGGTTCGCTAACCGAGTCAGCAGCATTCCTTGCGAAAACCCGGAATTCGTAACGCTGATCTTCAGTAAGCTCAGTTACTTCAAAGTATGTTTCTTGTACGTTAGTAAAATTGCACTTCAGCCACCTGCCATCTGGGAGTTCTCTACGCTCAATAATGTATCCTGTGATCTTAGCACCACCATCATATTGTGGTTTAGACCATTTAAGTGACACTGATTTTCTTGTGATATTTGTGACTTCAGGTTGTCCAGGAGGGTCACAGGGATCTCGTGCAGGGACTGGTTCACAAGCCTTACTGCATTTACCGATTCCAGCAATATTCTGGGCATATACACGGTACTCATACATCAGTCCTTCGTCAAGGCCGGAGACTTTCATCTGAGTAGTGGGGATGAGAATTTTATTTGCTTTTGACCAAAGAATGCTGCTTCTTTCTTTATACTCCAGGTGATAGCCAATGACTTGACTTCCTCCATCATTTACTGGTACTTGCCAGCTGACAAGCATGGTCGATTTTGTGGCATGCACAACTTGAGGGGTCCCAGGAGGCCCTGGGGGGCTGAATGGGTACTCTGCCACAACAGCTGAAGATTCACTGTAGGAGCTCTTTCCATAGCGGTTTTCTGCACAAACACGGAACTGATACTCAGTTCCTGTTGTCAGACGCACTATTTTAATGGATGTTCTCGCAACTGCTTGTGAAACTATGTGCCATGCTGTAGATGTGGTTTCTCTCTTTTCAACGATGTAATTGCTAATTTGGCAGCCACCATCATATTCTGGAGCATTCCAAGAAATGGTTATATTGTCACAACTAACCTCATCAATACGTATAGGTCCTGGAGGTCCTGGTTTGTCAAGGACAATCACTGTAATCGGAACTGTTATGGATCCAGCACTGTTTGAAACACATAATTCATAAGTTCCGACATCTTCCCTTGAAGCTTCCTTAATAGATAGGGATGTTACCGTCTTGGAAGAAGAAACATTGACTCTAGTTGTCTCCTTAAGAGTCTGACCATCTTTCTTCCAGGTTATAGTAGCTTGAGGTCTTCCTCTGAAGGGAACATCAATTTTAAGGTGGTCTTTAGCCTTTACATTGAAAGTATTGAAGGGAAGCTCGACCGAAGGCTTTATTTCAATATCCCTTGCAATCACTGGCACTCCAAGTTGTCTTGGATCGCTTCTTCCTTTTTCATTAACTGCAGCTACCCTGAAGACATACTCTTCTCCTGCAGTCAGGCCAGATATAGTTGCTTCCAGAGTCTTAACTTGTATGCAGGTGCTCCATTTTTCACTCCCTTTAGTCTGCATTTCAACCACATAACCAGTGATTTTGCTGCCACCATCACTTTCCGGTTTTTCCCACTTAATTGTAGCTGTGTTGCGGGTCACATCAACAAGAGTTACTCTTCCAGGTGGGAGGGGTGGTTCAGAAACTTTAATGGGTTCGGTCGTTTCAGCTGGCAAGCCAATCCCATATTCATTGGAAGCCAAGACTCGGAAATAGTAAGAACATCCTTCTTGTAGATTTTCAATTTTAAAAGTGTTCTTAGTGCAGTTGTTTGTCACAGTAGCATATGCTTTTCTTGTTGCTTCTCGTTTTTCGACGATGTAGTTGGTAATCTTCGCCCCTCCATCAATAAGAGGTGGTTCCCAAGACAGTGTTACTGAGTCTTTCTTCACTTCTCTAACAGTCAAATTCACAGGGGCACTTGGTGAGTCAAGAACTCTGACATTAACAAAAGCTGTTTTGGACCCACTGTTATTTTCTAGTGTCAGGTTATACCGACCACTGTCAAATCTGGTGACATTATCAATGACCAACATTGTGTATGAGCTGGTCACCTCAATCTGGGCCCTCTCAGTGAGAATGGCATCAGCCTTTTCCCATTTAACTTCAGGTTCCGGTCGACCTTTGATAGTGACGAATAAGCGTAAAGTAGTACTTGCACGCAGAATGACCACCTTTCTGAGATCGGCATCCAGTTCTATTTCTGGTGGCTCGAGCCGATCTTGAGCAACAACTGAACCAGGTATAGTTGCAGGTTCACCTACACCTTCGGAATTGATGGCACAAATACGGAAATTATATTCAGTATTTTCTTTAAGCTCAGTCACTGTGAACTGCCTTCCTTGTAATCCTGTTGGTGGGGTACAGGTTGTCCATTCATCAGCACTGGCTTCTTTGAATTCAATGGCATAACCCTTAACAGCTGCACCACCATCATAAATTGGCTTATTCCATGCCAGGGAGACAGAAGATCTGGAAGTGTCAGTCACTTTTGGATTACTTGGTGGACCCGGTGGATACAAAGCATCACACGCACGATAGAAAACAGATGGCTCACTAGGTTCACCCACACCAGCTGCATTTTCAGCAGCAACTCTGAATTCATAGGAATGGCCTTCGGTAAGACCAGTTACCCTCAATCGAAGATCTGTTAGTGTTTTCTTGTTGCACTTGATCCATCTAATGCCCTCCTTATCTCGTTTTTCAAGAATGTAACCCTCAATTTCAGCACCTCCATCATCCACTGGGCGTGCCCATGTTACTACCATGGAATCCTTGGTGATTGCGGAGGCTTCAGGCGGTGAAGGAGGACCTGGTGGTTTGTAAGGATTGCAGGCTACAACAGGCTCAGATTCCAACGGCTCTCCAACGCCGTATTTATTCACAGCCATGACACGGAAAATGTACTCATTTCCAGGAAGAAGTTTAGTGACTTTGTAGTTAAGGGCCTGTACCTCAGTTGAAACCTGGGTCCAGGAGAGTCTGCTCGTCTCTCTCTTTTCAATGATGTAATGTGAAATACTAGCACCACCATCTTGTAAAGGTGGGTTCCATGCCAGGTAACATTTCTCTGCAGTAACCCCAGAAACTTTGAGAGGCCCTTCAGGAGGCCCTGGCCTGTCAAGTACCTTCACAGTGATTGGGATAGACTTTGTGCCACCAACATTGCTCAGTTTCAGAATGTATTGTCCTCCATCAGTCCGTACACAGTCTTTGACAGTGAGAGTTGTTTTCTGAAGAGTGGACTTGATTTCCATCCTAGCAGCTGTTTCTTCAAGCTCTTTTCCATCTTTTGACCAAACGACATCAGGTATAGGTTTGCCGCGGATATCAGCTTCCAGGACAAAAGTCTCTCCTGCGTGAACAACGATGACATCTTTGTATTTTGGATCCAGTGAGGCATTCGGTGCATCAATTTCATCTCTGGCAGTGATGGCGCCCGTGCTCTCAGATGGTTCACTAAAGTTGCCAGCTGCATTTCTTGCAATTACTCTAAATTCGTATCTTTGGTCTTCTACAAGTCCACTCACTGTGAATTCAGTCTCTAATACATTGGTAAAGCTGGCTTTCATCCAGCGGCCATCAGGGAGATCTTTCTTTTCTACGATATAGCCTGTTATTTTGCTACCACCGTCGTAGGCAGGTTTCTTCCACTGCAGTGTGACACTGTTTCTTGTAATCACAATGGCTTCAGGGCGACCGGGTGGGTCACA